GCAGATAAGCACTTTTGCAAGTCTCTTCTTCATTGCGCTGTTTCTCTCAATCTTTGGAACCGGCATTCTTGAGCTGAGGTGGAGTGGAGTGAGCATCGAAGAATGGTGGAGAAACGAGCAGTTCTGGGTGATTGGTGGTGTCTCATCTCACCTCTTTGCCGTTGTGCAAGGTCTTCTCAAGGTTTTAGCCGGCATTGACACCAACTTCACAGTCACAGCCAAGTCATCAGATGATGAGGATTTCGGGGAATTATACGCGTTTAAATGGACAACCCTCCTCATCCCTCCAACCACAATCTTAGTCATCAACCTTGTTGGAGTCGTTGCTGGGGTTTCGGACGCCATAAACAACGGGTACCAATCATGGGGGCCTCTGTTTGGGAAGCTCTTCTTTGCATTTTGGGTGATTGTCCATCTCTATCCCTTCCTTAAAGGTCTCATGGGGAGGCAGAACCGGACGCCGACCATTGTTGTCATTTGGTCAATTCTCCTGGCTTCCATCTTCTCTTTACTCTGGGTCCGAATCGATCCGTTTGTGATGAAAACCAAGGGACCCAACACGAAGCAATGCGGAATCAACTGCTGAAAATACTTGCATTCTTTTCATCCTTTTCTGAAATGTGCATGCTGAAGATATATATGCAGCACAAGAACGAATAAAGGTAGAGTAAGAATTTTTGTGTAGCTATGAAGTGCAATCAATGTACCAAGTTTTGTAAGTGAATTGGAAAAGTGTGGTTTGTAATGCCTTTGGCACTAACTCACAAGGGAGCTCAATGGACTCTCAGTTTATTATTCTGTTCTTATGCCGCGCCATCGCGTCTACCTTATGTCTGATTTACGAGAAAAACTTACATGCAACATCTATCTCACGCTTATGGTTATGTGCTGCTCACATGATGTTGGAAATGTGAGGGATGTCGGATGCACCGGGTGCACACTAGTTTTTCTCCTGATTTAGGGTTTAGCACAGAAGAAAAAAAAAATTCTCAGAATAATTATTGAAGAAGGGTGTATGAAACATAAGCATCGAAGAATCGAAGCAGTTTGATGTGCTTATTTGAACAATTTCATCTATTTTGAGGTTAAAAATGTTATAACCAAATAAATTACAAGGATAATTTCCTACTGGAAAAAAGGGTACCAGATCACTAATGTAACATCTCGAAAATCGTCGAGGCTTGTATTTGAATAGCCAGATGAATCAGAATACAATGCAAACAGGATATATGCCACAAGTGCTTGCCGGGCGTACACCAGAAAGAGAGCGTTGAAACAATTGTCATTCCATGCCAGAGTACTGGACGGGGTTGAGCTTCATCTATTTCCGGTGAAAAATGCTCAGTATTCTTGTTAAGATGTGAAAGTTACTGATGAAGTGACTCTCCACTTTTTACCATGGAAGCAATGTGAAACTGCAGAACTAGATACTGGTGCAGAAAACTTTTTGTCACCAATAGTCTCCACAAGAACAAACACCGTCTTTGAAATGATGGAATCTATTAGCATCCCTAACTACGATAACTCTTTCTGTGATCTTGGATATAAATTTTGTTGCATTATGGCAATCCAAACAAACCCGGAGATTCTTAAAGATTCTAATTTCTGTCCCTGGTGCAGTTTCAATCAGGGCAAAAGCAATGGCCAGCTTCTCACTATGAACCTTCATCATTAACTCCTTCTCTTCCTCCTCAACGTCATGCAAAGCAGTCACAGTTTCAGTCTGAAATCCAGCCTCAGCCATTTTTCCCATTAACTTATCCAGCATCCTATAGATTGCCTTTGCTTGAGGATGAGATCGATCACCACATGTAAAAACATGTGGGGTCTCACCAATCTCAACGAGAGTGCATCCCGGAGTCTTTGCCAAATTTCTATTCTTAACTACCTGTCGCACTGAAGCAGCCTTCGGAAAGTTCCTGTCAGCTGAGTATACATTGGAGAGCAAGACATAATATCCTGTATTATCTGGGTCCAATTCAAATAGCCTTTCGGAAGCCACACGCGCCAGTTCGGTGTTCTTGTGAATCATGCAAGCACCAAGCAATGCACCCCAAACGGGAGGACCTGGCTCAACTGGCAGTTCCTTTATAAAGTCCAACGCCTTCTCTAACTTTCCAGCTCTGCCAAGGATGTCAACCATGCAGGCATAATGCTCGGGCAAGGGCTCAAAGCCATGGTTGTGAACCATATGATTGAAGATTTCTTCACCTTCTCTCACCAAGCCAGCATGGCTACACGCATACAAGACAGATAGAAAAGTAACCGCGCTTGGGGAAATCCCAGAATGCAACATCTCAGTAAAGAGTTTTAGTGCTTCATGCCCATCACCATGAAGGCCATAAGCAGATATCATGGCATTCCAAGTGACCACATTTTTCTCTGTCATCGAGTTGAATAACTTCCGAGCTTCCACAATGCTCCCACACTTTGCATACATGTCAACTAGAGAAGTCAATACATAGATGTTAGACTCAAGATTTTTGCTCTTAATCAAACCATGGACCCATTTCCCAAGACTTATTGCTCCGAGCTGAGCACAGGCCGAAAGAATACTTGTAACTGTAACAGGGTTTGGACTGAATTCAGACATCATTTCACGGAAAAGAGATATTGCAGTCTCCGTCAGCCCATTTTGGGTATACCCTGAGATCATGGCATTCCAAGATGCCAAGGTTTTCTCCTTAGACTGATCAAAAAGCTGTCTTGCCGATTCAATCTCATTCAGTCTACAATAAACAGTAACAAATGCAGTCGAAACTGAAGGATGAGAAACAATACCAGATTTCACACAGAAAGTTTGAAGAGAACCAGTGAGATGCAGATGACCGAAAGGAGAAGACACAGGAATCAACCCAACAATTGTACTCGAATTGACTTTCTCCCCAGAAGCAAGCAAATCCTTGAAATGACTAACCGATGATTCAGTTTCATTGTTGCAAGTGTATCCGGCAATCATTGCATTATAACATATCAAATCGGGTCGACTAATGTGCCCAAATAACAACCTTGCCCTCTCTAGCTCCTTACATTTCGAATACAACGAAACCAATCCGGTAAGCACATGAACATCTGAATGATATCCAGCCTTCAGAGCCAAACAATGAACTCCCATCCCTGCTTTCAACTCCTGCAATTCTGCCACTGCAGGAAGCACGGCTGCTAACGTCGTCGAATCAAAACCCATCCCACCCACAACCATATCTCCAAAAACCCGTATCGAATCAGCGTAATAACAATTTCTCACCAACCCAGATATCATCGTATTCCACAAAACCGTGTCCTTCTCGGGCAATCCATCAAACACCTTCTGTGCTAACTCAACCCGGGAAAGCTTGAAGTAAAAGTCAACAACAATCGACCCAACATACAAATTCAATCCTAACCCATCAACAATCGAGTGCGCGTGCAGCAAAATCCCATATTTCTCGTCCTTAAAACCCGAAGCGGCCGACACGGCGAAGGCGTAAGTGAACTTGTCGGGTTTAAGATTAGTGTTCTTCCGCAAATGGGTGTAGAGAGAAATCGCAGAGAAAGGTGCGGCGTTGGCGGCGAAGCCTCGGATGACGACGTTGAAGAGGAAAAGGTCGGGTCTTGGGATGGAGAGGAAGAGGTCACGTGCGTGGCGCATGGCCTTGAGGTCGGAGAACTTGTGGGTGAGCTTGGTGACGGCGGCGAGGTCGTTTTGGTAGCCATTGAGGATGATCTGCGCGTGGGTCTGGGTCAGGTGAGAGAGACAGGTCGCCTTGTTGAGGAGTCCGAGGAAGAAGTTCCTATCAAGTTGTGGCGCGCGGCAGCCGCTTATGTTCCTGCTAATCATGTGTTTGTGTTTTGTTTTCTCTCTTCGGAGCGTTTGATGATGTTTTTTTTTATTTTGGCGGGAATTCCCCTTTCTCTCTTGATAAACAAAATCAATTAGGGTAAATTGGAAAAAAACCTAATATTTTGTTACGTGTTGAAAATCTTCACAATGTCCCAAGTTAAATTTAACAAACATGCCTTGCGACGAAAATGGATTGAATTTTGACTTATACGTGTGTTGTAAAAATTTTCAAAATCGATATAGTTTATAGCTTTTGTGAAAAATTGAAATTTTTAGTTTTACAAAATATTTTGAGCGGGAGTTAAGGGAAGTATCGCAAGATCTTTCGATGTGATCCAACCATTTATTAGCTCCGAAACTATTATTTATTGATTTTTAAAGATGCAAAATAGAAAAAGTATATATAAACTAATAGTGGTACGACGAGAATATTTAGAATGTCTTAAATTAATTTTAAAAAACATGTGGTACGGCGAGAATGACTCAAAATTTTGCTTATATTGTACATTGTAAAAATTCCTAAAATCCATTTGAAACGTGGGTTGTAGGAAATATCTTGCGTGGGCGCTTGTTGTAGGAAATATCTTGCGTGGGCGCTAAGAAAATGTTGCAAGACTTTTGAATGTGATCATACTAGTTATTAGGTCCCGAATTTAAAGTTGAAAAAAAAAAATAATATAAATTAATAGTAGGCCCTCAAATATTTTTTTTTTGGTTTGTTTTCCAAAAATATTTGAAATTTCCTAAATTAATTTTAAGAAGCATATGGTGCAACGAGAATGACTCGAATTTTGACTTATAATTAATCTTGTAAAAATTGCCGAAATTGATTGAAAACGGTGGTTATTACTCACAGTTTTTGTGAATTTAACTTTTTTAGTTTTAGACAATATTTTGCTTGAGAACTAAGATAAACGTTGCAAGACCCTTGAATATGATCCTACCGTTTATCAAGTCTTATACTTATCAGCAATTCGCACCTACCCTGAAGGTGGTGTGTCGAACGGGTGACGAGGTCAAACATAACAGTCTTTCCGACTTGAGGTGAAACTCAAGGATCAATGTGCAGGTTGGGTCAGATAAACAGGTACGGTATACACAGACCGGCTAGTTGAGGTCTAACGGTTGTTAGACCGATAACATACACTTGTTCAGCAGTAAAGACATAAAACAATGGTGAAGGAGTCTAAAAACGCTTTCAGTCATTTTAAAAGCAGTTCCAAACGAGCCCTAAAACAAGTAGAACTCAAATCCAAGGCAGCATAAATAGAACATTGGTAATTACGACGATTTCCTATTTCATTTCCTTTGAAACTTTTGCTTCTACACTGAATTCCAATCCTTTGATTCCTTTGCATTTCCTTTTCATGGAGCCGACGGCCCTCTGCTCAGAAAGAAGAGAAAAAATTTTGGAAAAGAGAAAGATGACATTCCAAGGAAAACAGAAGAATCAATTTACATTCACGGAGAACCGACGGAGACATTTATCTCTGCCCCGGTATATATTTATCCCTTCGGAATTGACAAAGCGAGCTTATATTGTTGGCTTTGAAGCTAGTCAGGATCAAGAACAAGTCTTGGTTGCCAAAATTGAGCGCTCGCTTTTCCCATTTCTTGTTTCGTTTGCAAGAGATGGGTCCTCAGGCTGTATTCTTCCACCTGTTTTGAGCAGCCAGTAATCAAAAGTTAAGTACAGTATTTATAAGCAGTTAATGTTGCAAAATGATTTATCAAACTGAAGACGCTCGGCTGAACAGAAATCAGTGTTCATCAAACTGAAGAATATTCAATACTACGACAGAACAAATGCGACAGAAAGCCCCCGACCTCCCCAAACATACATGAGGATTTGCTTTTCCTAATTACATTCTGTTCATTAAAAATAAATGGTCTCATTGTTATACCTGCATAGCTGCTGCTGAAGCCAACAGCGCCTCGCACTCGTCAAGCATGGCTTTCTCCTGTGCTGCTACAACAGCAAGTTCAGAAACCAAACTGTGCACGCCCTCCACCTACATCACATGAATGTAAAGTTCTGTGTTATTACGTCTGTCTTTTCTGAAAGATAAATCCTCCAAACACAAACTTTACGTGCACAATATAAGCAACCTCTACATCATTGATCGTTAGTGCTACCCGGTGTATGCCATAAAGAATGTAGTAAAAGGATGGAGGTTGAAAAGCTATCACAACATGGTCAACGTAAAACTATGGATACATGAATCTCACCCGTGAGAGCAAATAGCATATGGAGGATGCCATTGCCTGCATCACATCAACCGCTGAGCAGATAGCTACCTTCAAAGAATCCAAATCTGCCTGTAAAAGTGTAAGTTTATAGTGATGAGAAAAGTCTCTTTCCATAAATCAAATTAATGATCTTTTACAACATACCCTTGCCCCTCCAGTCACTGGAAGACGTAGGGTGCTTGCCTCCAAATCTTCCATAGCCCCCGAGAATGCAGCAATATGCTCGGTTTCAAGTAAACCCCAGTCGTCAAGGTAGGCCATCTGACCAATCATTAGAAAGGGTATGAGTAAGATACAATATGGGACCAAAATTTAACAGGAAAGCCTCTGAACTAAGACATGCCTAACATGATTTATTATTTCCAACAAATGTCACTCTTGCCACTAATTTGCTCGGCTTTTCAAACTGAATTTAATTACAAACAGAACATGATGAACGTTTGCCTTCATCATCAACTCTCTTCTATTATATAGTTCCTATTCCCTGATAACAAGGCTGGTTATAAGCTATTCCAAACAAGTCACACGGATGAAATCTTAGAATACATCCTAACTGCTCGGTGCAGAATAATCTGACGACCACACTAAAGTTTTATTATGTACTTTCTGCATCATAACCTAGTCTTTGACTTACGGGAATCCTTAAAGGATTAATGCAATCACTGAAAACATTGCAGATAACATGACATCACTGTCGTGGAAAAGATGCATTACTTGATCATTCAATACTGACTTCAGCTTAAGTTCAAGCTTCAACTGCTGGAGATCGATTCGTTTCTTGATTACTGAATCCCACAAGCTTATTGTACTGTTCCACACATTCAATAAAGTTCTCTGCAAGATCAATTAAATTCCGATGTAAGTTGACATAATATTCGTCACTTACAATAAGTTTGCACAACCCTGACCATGCAACAAATCAATATCATTGATAAAACTATTCAGCACTAGGAAGTTAGTAAGACGGGACATGATAAATAATAGTAGGAAATAATTAAGAAATTAGTAGAGCAAAGAAATATGCCTAAAAGTTTTCTAGTTCAAAGAGAACAAACACCCACCTCTGCATTTACTTTCTGAACATAAAGTACAACCTCTGCCCTTGCATTAGCAAATCGCCATTGCAAACATCTATTGTAAAGTAAACGCAACTGATGAGCATCTTCAATGTAACTTGCACCCTTTTTCCCCTTAAAATCTGCAATGAAACTAAGCACAGATGTTGAACTGCTTGATTGACTGGACGTACTGGATGGCCTTGCCTTAGATGGACTAACTCCTCTAGAAGGAGGAGTAGATGGTCTTGATCGAGACGGGCTTAAACCTCTTGTAACAGAAGATGAAAACATTGAGCTCTTACTAGGTGAGGACGGTCGTGATTGTGATGGAGTACTAGGCAAAGATTGACATTTCAGTGAATGAGATGTTAATGACAACCTGTCCGATAAACTTGTGGAGGCAAGCTTGTGAGGTCTGGATACCTGCAGGGAATTACCGTCAACTGAATTTGCTCCTAGTCCTGCTTTACAGCTTTGATGAAGCGGTAATAATGCAGCAGTATCACTGGCGGATTTTTGTAAAGATTTGCCCGAAGAATCAGATGGTGGCGTTCTCCTAAGCGTAGACAACCCAACTCCGGGAGTTGGCGCAACAAGCCTGACAATTTTAGCACCAAGATCCACACTTCTATTTAATGAATTCGAAGATACTTTCCCACTTATTCTACTTGGCCATCGATGCTGATCTATCAATCGGGAATGCAAGCCATCAACCGGCTTAGAATTCTCTGATTGATCAGGAGCATTTTTGCCTTTAAGAGGGCTCCTTTTTCTCTCCGGTGTAAGCTTTCTTGGAGCAGCAGGTGTTTCGGCCTGCCTATGAGCCACATTCGAAGATGACCTCAAAGTGCGGTCAGACAGAGCACTCGACACTGGTTTTTCCTTCTTACTAACAGGAATTGAAATGCTATCAGACTGAAAGGAAACACTCAAACTTCTCATAGTGGAAGGCCATAAACCCTCTGGCATTCGACCGTTTAAGAGTCTTCTGGACGAAAATTGCACACCTGCATCGCGGACCGGTGTTGATGGACTTGGCGGGGAAGTGGGCGTCGAAGGTCGCTTCCTGTCAACAGATTGGGATCTTTTGGACACCAATGGCGATGATGGACGTGAGGTGCTTGTAAGGGTTGGAGATGGGCAACGCCGAGCTCCAGAAGGTGATGAGGGAGTTGTTGAGGATGGAGAGGGAGACTTGTACCTAGAACTAACTTCCCTCGTTCGAGGGCGGCGGGTGGTGGTTGCATTGTTGTTCCTCTCCGCCGGAACCAACGGCGGTCTTGGGGTCTCCACGGCTGTTTTCTTCCTCAGCGCTGCTAGAGCTGATTCACGCACATCCATCCACACTATCCAAATCCAATTCAGACCACATTGATGGAATTTGATTGTTTCATTTCATCAAACCAAATTTACATACTTGACAGCCTTTGCATTTCACATAATCCCACCACATTCATATACCAACACTCAATGGAATAACACAACCTGTTGCTTGAAAAGAAGATACTTTTCTCTGCAATAAATCTGCCACAAAACGCACAAATCAAAAGTAAGAGACAGCAGCAGAGGGAGGGGCTAAGTAAAGCAAAGAATAAACAACCCATAAAAAAAAAAAGAAAAAAAAGAAAAAGGAACATTGAAAACCCAAAAAAGCATACATCTTTACAGAGACTCAGATCCAATTGAGAATCAATCTGAGAATTGCAGCAAATAATCTCAAAAGGGTAATTTGTTTTCAAAGAAACAACTGCAAATCCAATCAGATCAGGCCACGGCAGTGAAATTATGAAGGGGGTAAACAACATCTGGTGCCAAAGACGGTTATGGTTAGAGGTTGGTTTTGATAACCCACAAAACTGAATGCAAGGGCAGCCTGGTAGGGTTCCCTAGGAACATTGGGGAGACTGGGAAGAGGGAGTGGACAGTGATGAGGGTGCAGGATAAGAGAAACTGAAGGGTTGTATTGTGTGTGCTGGATAAGCGCCCTGCCTTTAATTTTGCTCTGGTCCCTCTCACGGGAGTGCCATGGTCGGTTGGGCTGGACAATGGGTCAACTCTCACACAGAAAAACCACCCACTCTCTCTGTCTCTCTCTCTCTGTGCCCAGCTTTCCCTTCTCTCACAACTCTTTGTCTGAAAGGGAATTCAATGAAAGCGAACACAAAACTTGCAAAAATAATCCAAAGCTTTTAGCTTTCTCTCTCTACTCCCTCTCTCTCTAACTTTTTTCCAACTAAAATACAGACTAAACCTGGGATCAACTGCCAGAAATTTACTTACTTTACTAAAACGATGCTTAAGGGTTTTCTCCTCTCTTCTTTTACTCCCACCATCTCACACATAAACTTGCAAAAAAACAATAAAAATCCGCTTTGCTTCTGCGGTGTTTTGTCTGTATCCACAATATTAAAATCTCCAATTATTCCAAGGTTGAAACTCGCAGGTGCTAATGTTCTTTAGGAAATGAGAAAAGACATGGAGGTCCACGTGGACGAAGGATCATTGTCCATCCCCATGAATTTTTGGGACAGCAGTTAGAAGCATACACACATAAAATTAAGCAATGCAAACACATCGTTAACTGGAAAGTCGATAAAAATAAGGTGGTTCTTTTTGTGACCATCGTTGTTCATTTGTTTTTGTTTCACAGATTTGGGAACTGAAGTCAATAAAAACGCAGAAACATTTGTAAAAAATTCGGAAGAGAAAAATGAAGGATTCCAACGAGGGATCCATGACATATGTCTGCAGCCGACAGGGCCGTGTCCCTCAAATCCAAGACACGTTTACTGCTTCACTGCTCATGCAATTTCTCTCTCTAAACACCAAAGCTTCAGTCTTTCTAGAGAGAGAGAGTTCATTGAATCTCAATAGAACTCTCGAGAATTCCCAAAAAAAAAAAAAAAAACATGATAAATCAATTAATTTCCTACAACTTAAAAGGAAAAATTTAACCGTTGGTAACTACGGTTTATCTCGAAAGTTAACAACAAATAATATAAAATTAAACAAAAAAAAAAAAACGTTGCAAGAATTCCTCAAATCATCAAAACCCTAAACTTACATACCAAGAGATATTTGAGACTCACCGAAAACGGAAGGAAGTTGCTTTAATCTCTTTGAGAATTCGAATCAGGAGGTCACACGGCGGTGGCTGGGAGGCGTCGCCGGAAACGGAGGGGATTCGCCTCACGGTGATCGGAGAGTCAAATATTCCCGGCGGGAAGTCAAAGATTTACGGCGGGAGGCGGTGTTTGAAGGAGAGATGCCGAGATGGAAGTGGAGAAAGGAAAAGGTGTATATTTGAGGAAATAATTTAATATTATTTTATGGGTATTTTAATTTTGAAAAATTGGGTTTTTGGAATTTTTTAAAATATATAAATTGCGAAGAAACGGTTACAATTTGGAGGGAGGGACTCCGAGATGACGTTGATTTCGCGCCACCTACTCTGATAAGCCTTTTGACAAAGTTAAATGTGGGCCCCTATCTCCTGCGTCCAGTTCCACGCAAGCACGCAGTAGAACCTCATGATCCAAATCAATGTATTAAATTGCATTTACTAGGAAAAAATGTCAAACTTGTTTTTCATTGAAGCTTTTATAGTTTTATATATATACTAAGAAAAATGTCAAACTAGTTTACATTTTTTTCAAGACCAATATTTTAATTTAACCTAAATTACGAGAGTGTACTTCAGAGTATATTGCATTAATCAACTTCGTTTTCGCTCAAATATGCATACTAATTTGTTACGAAAAATAATATCCGTATATTACTTGTTTTTTGAGTTTATTGATTCTAACTTGATAGATACAGTTCAAGTGTCAAATAAACAATAGTGTACGAGGATGAAAATTGATGCAATACCAACTTTGAGGTTTATCCTTTTTCTCTTGAAAAGGAAAGAATGTTAAACCAACAAAATAAGTGAAATATAAGATTAGTTGTAATTAGTTGGGATTAAGATGTTTCATCTATAAATTAAGCATTGATGCATGGTTGATTACTCTCAAAGAAACATATATGCTTGAAACTGTAATTATTTAGGATTAATTTGGATCTTGACAATGTTCAAATCCACATCCACTAAATTTTGTTGAATTTTTTATACTTCAAACCTAGCCGCTAAATTTAACAATTAATGTACTCTAAAATTTTCGTCGAGCAATAAGACTTGACACAGGATAGCCGTTTATAATATGTATTTCATACTATCACAATATATACATATATTTTGATCGTCACTCTTAAGAAGCAATTATGTTTGGTATGTTTCCTTGTTGTCCAAATAAATTTACATGGAAGTTTTTTGGAAGAAATATTTGGTTTATTGTAATCTGGACGAGTAGATGGTTAGTTTAATGGTAAAAATCACCATCATTCAGAAAGAGTTGTACTCTTTCATCACTTTAAAAATAGAATCGACAAGCCAAAATAGGCTTGTAGATAATCCAGACTGAAAGGGTCTTATAATTACTTTTATTCTACGAGTTTGTTTGCAAATGTTTTTAAAATAATTGAATATACTTTTGATGAAAGTATTTTTGCTTTAAAATTCATTCAAAATGTTTTATGCAAAAAACACATTCTTCGTACAGAAAGTATTTCAAATATTTTTCTAAAATGCACTTGCAGTTTTAATTAAATATTGATTTTAAAAATTCTTTCAATTATTTTAAAAGTACTTCTAAATATAAAATATATATATATATATATATTTTTTTTTTTATTAATATGCATGGACCCAATAGGATCAATTGCATTACAAAGAAAAATATTGTGTGCGTGTGTGTGTGTGTGTGTGTGTCACATGTAAGCAGACCAAAAGTAACATTTTTACCAAATTGCTAGCAATATAATCATCAGCAATGCATGTGTGAGTTCTAAGTTTTATTATATTATTAAAAAATGCATGAAGAAAAGAAAAAGGAAAGAAAAAAAAGAGATATGATTACAAGAACGACCCTCATCTTTATTTTCCCTCTCCCTCCACTTCAAAATTTTATATTAAATCTGCATAATTAATTAATGTTAAAGTTTATAGCTCAATTCATTACAAGCATTTACATCTGCACCTGAAGTTTTGAGTTTGAATCATCCTTCCCCGATATCACCTGTATAAAAACAATAACAAACTTGCATGGTAATCATCCCAAAGCGACTTCTCCTTGCTCTTCCTTTTTCCATATTTTTTACTTTATTGTCAATTAATCCTTTCTTTATTGCTAATTCTTCCCTAATTCCTCATGTTTGCCACCAATATTTTTCCGTCTTTGTTGGGCAACTACCAGTCTACAAGGGCCATGACAGCAGCAAGATCATTAATAATATAAACTGTCCTTATGATATTGTTTTAACCATAAGCTAAACACTAATTAACCACTTAAACAGCTTGCTAGTGTATTATATATATGGCATTGGCAGCATAAGCTGCTTTTAGCCGAAAGCTGGAAGGTCCATTTACAGCTCGGAAGAACCCAGGAAAAGTGAAAGTTGGTCACACATTAATCATTTCAAGCGTTAAAGAGGGACTTACCCATAACCGGGTACACCACAGTGACATTCTAAACTAAATAACGCGGTGCCATTTGTTTTTAGAGCAAAATGCCGAGGTGGCGTCGGTATAAGGTTAAGTCTCTCTCCAAAGCAGTGGGAGCCAGATTACCCTGAATGTAATCACCAGATCTTGAAAAAGACTAATCATTTAATCTGCAATTAGGTGCAATAATCCGAAAAAGAGAATTAAGATTCTTTTTGGATTTTTGTATCTGGAGTAGACGGACCGGAAGATCCGGTCTACTTATTTTTAATTTTACAATCTTATTAGTCCATTTCACTGATCTACTTCACATAAACCATGAGTCTGAATCTCTCTTTCACTCTTCAATAGCATGGATCTCCAGCCTCCGAGTCCTTAAGTTTCGAACATAGAGATCCATATAAGATCTCGATTCTTTAAAAAAAAAAAAAAACTTGGAAAATTATGAGGTTTGATGCAATCTTTTGCTTTTTCTTTGAAGAGTTTTCTTCTAATAGCTGCGACGTGTGAAGATGTGGACAGATAATATGATATGAAATAACATGTCTGCTAAAAAGTTTGAAAACCCTAAACCTTTGTCCCATATCTTTCAGGGCCTACAATTTTCTTCCCTTGTTGTCTGTCTTGGTTCATATTGCTTTGGGTTTTCTGACTTTAATTAATATTATTCTTTTTTTTTTTCACCTCCAAATTGGAACAGCTGGTGAGAAACAATGCTTAGAGGATGCATACAAGACAATAATTTCTTATCATGCAGCTGCGGAGAATATGCAATCTTATTATTGTTTGTCATGAATTCAGAAGCAAAAATTAATTATCCTTTTGTTTTTATTGATGAGATTGAATTATTTTTTCAATTTAGTGATCATTATTTGTTAATCTGTATGCTTACACAACTAGTTATCAATGATTGATATTAATTCATGTGAGATTTTACAAAAATCAAGTTGGTTAAAGCAGTGTACTCGTTCTATCCACCTAAGTTAGATTATCTTTCCATAGTTGGCTAGTAATAATGTGGTTCAAATTCGCCTTTGGCGAGATCGAACCTAAGACCTTTCATTTACAAGTGAAAAAGAATATCACTAAACCGTAGTACTAAATGTCCTACACAAATTTTATTCATGAATTAAAGCAGACAAAAGATCCAATTATGGGTGCTCATGTGATGGAATTATAAATTTAATAATAGCAAAGTATAAAATCACGGAGAATCATCAAACCCATGATGCATATGCCAATGGCATGCTACTTTTTCCATGTCCTGGCTAGGAGTGCAATTCCAACACATCTTTTTTTATGTCCTCGCCACTTTCTTCTAACTAGATACTCCAGTTGGAAGATAAGATAATGTGATAGATGCTCAACGCAAAAATGGTAGAGAGTTTAAAAAGAGATTCTAAAAAAAAATATGTAATACTTGAAACTAACATAAAATTTTACATAAAACCGTACACAATCGTGTTTTAAGATTCATACCGTCAAGGCCACTTATTGGAAAAAGAAAAATCTTCTAAGTAGATAAACTTAATTGTCACTTATGTGTGCTCCCATGTGGGTAGTAGCATTTATTTTATTGGTTAGTTCAATAATTAATTAATATGAGAAACAAAGGTTTATTATTTTGTGAATATAAATAATTAAAATTTATGTTTTTGTCGTGTTCATATTATAATTTGATATGATATTCATCGAAATGCTCTCGAGTTTGAGTACATGGTATTTGTATTTTCGGCTCGTATTAATTAATATATTCATATGTTTTCTCTCCAGCATGTTCATGCCATAATTTCCTCTTTTGTAAATATATATATATATATATATATATATCTATTCTATTAAGAGAAGAGGGTTTGTCAACCTTTTGCTCCCATTTCTTCCAATTTTGCCCTCACTTTTGAATACACAATGTTGACATGAGAAGGGCAATTTTGTATCTTTCGAACTTTTTTCTTTTTTCTTATTTTGCCCTTACTTTTGATACACAATATTTACATAAGAAGGGCAAAATAGTAATTTTATATTGAAATATTTACATAAGATAAAAAATATGCACTTATTAAGAGAAATTGTCCCACCATCATTTTTTCATACACGTAAGTGAAATCATGATGTTTTTTGGATAGTTTGAATGAACTTAAGCGGTTGCGCTTGAGGAGAACGTGGAGGCGGTTGTTCACACACAGAGTGTGTGCTCATCTGCTGATATATATAATGGGGTCAAATTCTGACTGGCTAGCTTGTTTCATTTTAGGGTTTAGACTGACTTGTTCTATCCGTTTAGTTTTATTTAGTTTATAACTCATTTAAAAGTATTTTTAAAATGATTAAAATCGTTTTTAAATAAAATATTTACGGGTTTCAAAAGCACTTTAGGATTCATTTGCATTTTGATTAAGGATTAGTTTCAAAAATATTTTTACTAAAAACGTTTTTAGTCATTTTAAAAACATTTGTAAACAAACCATTAATTAGGGATCGCAAATAATCTTTTAATCCGCAACCCTTAATTTCGACGGTCAACTGTAGTCCCTAACTCCCAGCGTCTTTGTAAATGGTCTTTGACCTCCCATTGCGGCAAGCTTGAGTCAGCGCCCCCACCTCCGAAGATGGAGTCCATGTTTGGCCGCAAGCCTTTTGACTCTGCCGCCGCCACGGCCGCACCAGCCACCACCATAACCGTACGTCACCATGCAAACGAGCAGCTTAAGGAGCTGTAGCTGTATATATATACTAGCACGTACGTACTATACTTTGATGAATACGTAGATTATGCGAAGCTAGGTATGTATTTTATGTACATATATGTGTGCGTGCGTGCGTGTGTGTGTATATATATAACGCTGTTTATATAGAATAAAGAGGGCCTGCATGCTTATATATGTAAGTAATTAAGATGATTGGTGGCGATTGGTTGAGCTTGTCCAATGTTCTAATTAATCCACTTAAGCAATTGTAGTATATTACGCATGCACATGCTCTAATTAATCCACTTGAAAAATGAGGATCCGAGGTTCGCCAGTAACGAAACTGGGCGAAAATTTGCCTGAATTCAGTGAATGTCGTTGAAGTTTTATTGAAGGGAGTCATTGCAGGCGCTGATGGAGGCGATCGATGGTTCGTTAGAAACGGTTGGCCTCAGCGGCGCTGGATCCTTTTTGCGCGTAGGGTCGAGAGGCTTATGATACCAATTTGATAGGGCATGAATCGTACGTAAAAAGGAAATAACAGAAAATACAAATAAAAGTTACTTCGTTCATGCTAATGCCTTTCTCACATTACAAGTTTAATACATGATCTCGAGCCTCTGCATTTAGTAGAACGAACTCTCGTAAGGTTCCGCTAGGAATCCTTCTAGAAACATTACAGTAGGTAAACGGAAAGATGCAAATATGACACGTAAGAGCCAAATCTACATTTTATTTTATATTTTCGGGAGATGTATATTTTAGTTCTACCCAATAGGAGAGAAGCAAATTTGAGATTCCATTTTTTCTCTCTCTTTTACCTAGCGGGATCCATCCTTAAAAGATGCAAAAGATGTAAAAGAAAATGTAAATTTACATTTTTATTTACATCTCCCGGCCAAGATGTGTGTTTTACATCTCTCCCATTGGAGAGCTGTCCGCCCAACAAAATATGTAAAATGCCCCATTTCAAGGCATTTTGCATCTTCCATTGGAGATGCTCTTAAAGGTCAGTTCATACTGAAAGTTAAAAAACAAGAAAACAAACTCCACAGTCCACACTAAAACTTGGCTGGGGGTGTACAAACAATGTATAGCATGATAAACAACAAATAGTTAGCTTTCTGATCAAGTAATCTGATATATTCAGATCTACAAAATCTTACAGGAATCTTCCCGAGTTCATGTTGCTTGATTGAAATGTGCCTCGTGGCTAGAGATCCAGCTATGTTAATGTCATGTTAGCAATATATCCAAATTAAATCATATATAAACCAGTCTCTGATGGGATGCAAATGTCAAAACTGCGTTCTTCCAACAATCTTCATCCAAACCCATCAATTGGATTACTCTACTGAGGAGTTTGAATCATTGACGGAACAGGAAATCTTATCGAGCTGCATAAGCATAAGAACAGGAGCAAATCTTAAAACTGATCGTCAATAACGTACTAATTATTTCATGGAAGTTTGAGTTGGTGGATGTGAAACCAATTGGTTATTATCTAACCTCAGCTCTCCAATGTAGATGATCGAGCTTGTGTTGTTGGGCACTCCGAACCAACTTTAAGAAACACCAACTATGCTTCTAGTACTCCAAAAATCCAGCACTCCGAGCCTTGCCCAAAATTGACTCGATGCCTTCATTACACAAACCAAAATTCTTTGCCACTGCAAAACCAGCGTACATGCCATCCACAGCTGCACTCACAATCCCTCCAGCATAACCTGCTCCTTCACCAACAGGGTAGAGACCTTTCAACGATGTGCTCTCATAAGTATCATTGTCGCGGGGAATCTGGATGGGTGAGCTAGTCCTAGTCTGGAAGCAATTTTACAACAATTGATAAGATACTGACATCAATAACATAAAGAACTTTGGTGGTTGTATAGATATATGATCAACCTATATCGAATTGACATACAACCAGATTATTTGTTATGTAACACGATCAATATCCAGTTATTATAAAAAACTAAAAGTTAAAACAAATATTAAATACTGGGATTACCTCCACTCCGTGAAGAAGGGCCTCCTTGGATATAAAACCTGGTAACTGAAAGTTCCAAAGTCCGAGACAAGTAATTGTGATCAGTAATTGTTTGTCATAAATCATAAATATAAAGGTAAGTTACAACAAGAGAAGAAAAGTAACACCTCTTTGTCAAACACAGAGAGTGAATGCTGCAATGTCTCTGTTATATGAATGGGGAAAATCTCATGGAGATTTGCTGCCTTCACTCCTAATCGATAACTTGATGGTGGCACAGAAGTCACTAGGGAAGAAACAATCAAAACCTTAGCTTGCTGAACATATGATCGCAAAACTAATCCAGAAATGGCATAACAATCCTACCTGACAACTTATTGTCCATAAAATCCGTAACTGTCTGCACTGGCACCACAAAATTTCCCCCGCCCATTCTAGCTGCTCTTTGCTCAAATTCCCTCTAAAATATTATAACATCATAAGCTGATTTTTGGATTTTTTTGGTCCGACAATGCTTTAGTATTTTAGCTCAAAGAATCCTATTGCCGATCTTAAAGTTGTATTCAGTTGGTAGGTAAATAAAGATATATGATACTGCAGAAAAAGGAACACTAGATATAATCAAAAGAAAAAGTTACCTGAAACTCAACCCCAGCAAGAGGTCCACGGAGATTCAATACATCAAAATCTTTCGCTGAGACTGTTACAACAAGTGCAGCATTTGCCCACTTTGACGCACGTTTAGAAAATGACATGCCATTGATACAGATTTCAGATGGATTTGTACTAGTGAGAACAACCTGAAAAATACCATTTTAGCGATTCCAAGTCTAATATAGACAATCATTCTTCACTAGGTATTTAAAATTCAAACATGGTTCTGAAGTTTATATAATTCCCCACCTAGGAAGAAGCCAATTATTGGTTGATACTAAACATACGAAACTTTGCACCCTTGGTGCACTAAGAAGCTAAAACTTTCAGTCAGGTGAAATAAAAATCAAGAAATTTGAAAACAGAATACGTACCTGACCACCAGGACACATACAAAAGGAATAGCAACTACGACTTGTTGCCCCTGAAGGTTCTTCCCCATCCTTTCCACTAACATATTTGGCAACCTTGTAATCTGCCACTGGCACTTTACCACGTCCTCTGCGAACCTCAGTTGCCAATCCAGAATACTACATTTTTGTAATAAGGAAAATAAAATAAAATAAATAGGTATAAAGAGTGATAAAAAAATTTACTTAACCTAATAACAACACGTCCAATTTTTTTTTAAATGAAGCTAAGAAGTAACTAACCTGTAAGCTGTTTACTACTTCTTGAGGATGCTCAATACGCAAGCCAACCTGTTAGCCAAGTTAAGTTTTTATCAAGCTACCAAAGAACCGATTCTAGCACTACAACTAATACCAAGGAATGTGGCTTCACAGTAATTCATGCCATTTTATTCACCCAAAAAGACGACATACATAATTTTGAAAACAAATATGGAAAGATGTATATCATTCTTCTGGCAACAAGGAACGTAACTCCTCCAACTACACAATATTTAATGATATAAACTATTTCTGTGCACATGCTTATCTCCTGTGATCTTTACATACAGTAATAGTGCCAGAAATCCGGAAGGTAAAGTATTGGAAATGATGTGGGTCAGAAGGCTACAGTGGCCTGTTGATGCGGAGGATTTATGCATCCATAAATACGTACAGAGCTGGACAACAAAGTTCCATTGATCCATATGAAAGAGGAGGAAAGTAACTCACAGCAAAATCTTTCGGGATCAAGTCTATGTTATGAGATAGAAGTGTTTGGTAAAAATCGCGTGCAGAATGCCCAACAGCTAGAACAACAGCATCATATTCCCATTTCTGACTATTAGACTGTCTGTCAGCTGAATCAGAAACTTTGACACCTACAACTTGTGCCTTATCTACAAGGAGATCGTCTACCCTAGTCCCAAACTTTATGGTAACCTGAACATGCCAAAAAAAGAATTACTAAGAACATAGGAAATGGAAGTGGTAAGCAACATAAATGTAATAATATGCATTTGATTTAGCTAGAAAATAGATGTGTGACTCACACCCAGCTGTTGCAGATGTTGCCGAAAATTGCGAAGTAATGGAACCAATCTATCTGTTCCCAGATGAGGCTTTCCATCAACCAAGATTCCTTCGGGAGCCCCAAAGTGAACTAACGTTTCCATAACCTGAAGAGTAAATAAATCTGAATCAACTCACATAAGGTCAGGTAATAGCTTAAATGATACTAATCACCTAGAAGAAAAGAAAAGAGAAATGCTACGTAGTCTATCATTTATGCCTTGACAGCTCAGTATTTCATTGTCCAAATTACACAAAGAGAAGACAAACAAAAGGATAGAGAATGGTTCTGACCGCCAAAACACTGCCACTGTTTCTTCCAATCCTTGTCACCAGCTTTCCATCACTCCAGGTACCTGCACCACCCTGCCATGAATAAGTCCTCGATAAATGGTTCAATGGTAAAACACAGACGTATATATACAGAGGGAGGTGTGTGTGTGTACAACATAATGGCACATGCAGTTACCGAGCAGGAAAACAATGTGAATCAAGTTATAAGTATAACCTCCCCAAAGCAAAAATTGCTTTCTGTTTGTAACATCCGGCGGACAATCAGAGCGCCAATGTCGCGGCCCCTCTGTTCAACGGGCTGACCTCTTTCTAGTAACGTAACATCTGCACCAAATTCTGCAAGAACAAGGGCGGCAAACAGCCCTGATGGTCCACTACCCACCACCGCAATTTTCGGTTTTGTAGCTGTGGGATGCGCGTGTGATCCTTCAGACCCATTGCTCCTGTTATTGCCACTTCCTCTTGAAACTATACCTTGATGGACTTTCTTAAAGTCCTGTATTATATTGATCAAATCTCCAGATTTTCTAGCTTCAGGCATGTGTTCTACTAGCCCAACTTTCGGCTCCAACTCAGATATGAAGTCCCAAGCACGAGGCTCGAGACTCAGAAGTTTGTCGACATCCATTTCCACAATGTATACGAATTTCGGTTCTTTCAGCCTCTACACAAGAATTAATCAGGGGGAACATAAACAAAAAAAATCAGATTACTTGCTGGGCAACAAAATCGAAATTATCCCAACTCTTCCATAACCATTTGAAACAATTTCACAGATAGAACATACGAGATGCGAATCGCCATTTTCCCAAGACTCTAACTTTCAACAATAAACCAAAATTCAAAACAACATAACATACCTTCCTTGCATCAAAAGATTTCCGAACCACCGTGAACGCCTCCGTCGGCAGCATCGAAGGAACCTGAAACGAAAAACAAGAGACGAACATAAAAAAAATGTGAAAACGTGAACAAAAATGCTTGACATAAAGTGCCGCCGGATAGAATTACCGGAAATTCGAGCACTTTGGCAATCTGTTCAAGCAAGCCATCGGAGACGCCGAGAAAGTCCTTTCCCGGGTCCTTGTCGACGGAGACGCCGAGCTTGGACAGCCTCCAGATGCCCTCGTACTTGTTCTTGACGTCCCCTGCGATTTCCTTATGCTTCAGTTTCAGCTCCTTCTTCTCCGACGGGTACCTCCGCTTGCCGGCCCTCTTGGCGCCGAGGATTCGGAGTGTTTGGGGACGAGTATAAGGGAGTAGGCGCGTAGGGATAGAGTTTGGAGGGTGGAAAGAGCAAAGCTTGGAGGTGGAGGGAAGGAGGAACATGGCTTTTCGACTCAGCTGTGGAGGCCGGAGTGTTTCGCGCTTCCTGACCAGTGAGCGAGCTTCTGGTTTGGGATAAGGAGGCAAATCTCCAGTGATGCGACATGCCGTTTGGGTCGCAAATCCTTATCTCAGGGCCCAATGGGGAAAAGGCCAAGCCCAAAAAACTCGTTGATCAACATGATCTCTTATTTATAGAATAATCTTTTACTTAATTTTGAATTAAATATAAGGATTTATAAATGTAGGCAGATTAAATTTTTTTGACCTATTTTCATGGATGGCTGGCAGATTATTTTATTTATTTTCGTATATTCTACCTCTATCAAAGGCTGAATCTATTTAAGCAACCTATAGCGTAGGTGTCACATATGAAAGCCATAAAAATTTTCTTTTAATTATTTTTCATAAAAACGGTTAAATTTTCATATATTTTTTTGAGTACATTGATATTTTTACATTAGAGGAGGGAGAGTTCGGCTAAGCCACACAATGAGCAACCTAATTTGATATCAAATTAGCCATCCACGAGATTCGAACTAAGACCTAGTGAAGCGGAATATCATCAGATCGTAATACTGAATCGCAATTTTTACATTTAAATATTCAAATTAAAAATGTGAAAAGAGATAGATAAATCAAGACGTTTAATTAAAGTAGAAAAATAGAACACTGGACTAAATCCAATAAGAAATCGAATTTTTGGACCTAGATCAAAGTACCCCTAAATATTATTGTCCTAAAGACCCGAGCACGAGCAGGAAACGATCGAAGCAGATGGACTTCGGCCTCCATTGATGTCGATAGCTAGACCTACACTCGAAATGTTGCAGGCTGGATTGCAGCTAGTTAGCTTTTCTGGAGCAATACTTCCGGCTTCACCAACTGCCTGCATCTGCATCACGAGACGGATAGAAGTCATCTGGCCGAACAATGTTGACCTCTTCAAACTCTTTGTCATCTGGTAATCGAAGAATTTTTTTTATCAGGCTGGCCCAAAGCGTAAGATAAATCCATATCAACCGGTAACAACCCCGCGAACAAAATATACATGCCAAACATAAGCTTAAACGTAAGGTGAGAACCAAAAAAACAACAGGATCAGAGACTTGCCTTTTCTGAAAGCCAGTGCAACAACGGCGTCATTTTCAACCTGAACAGACATGAAAACATAATTGAAGATATCAACATAAGTGGAGCTCAACGGATCAGTATCTATCTGATGAAATTAGTTGTAGTAATCTCTATGTTCAAGTAAGAGGGAGAGAACTGCAATAATTTTTGTTTCATACCTTCTGATCTGCCAACGCCTTTGAATCCTCCAATACTTCCCCAGTACTGACTAAGATCAAGCGCTGGTCATTTACCGGTCGATCAATAAGATCATGCAATTTCTGCTTAATATCTAAACTTGTTTCAGTTGGTTCACACTGGATAGTAAGTTGTCTTACTACGCTTAACACGAATATACATGGCCTGAAAGTGAAACACATAAACAAACAAACAGCCCATTTCTTAGTCTTGTATTCCATACAAATTTCTTAATACCAAACCTATGTAACGGCTAAAATGAACACCATATACAGGCCACACACAATTTCAACAATCCCTTTTTTTTCAAGTTCTAGATGCATGATCAAAGAAATCACAATTGATAGGTTGCATCTCCGTGCACAAATATGACCAAAATGCAACTTAGCATCGAACCCATATCTCAAAGGCTTCAAGGTTTCAGATAGGCACACTTACAATTGTGGTTGTCATAATCCGATTTGTGATCTAAAACCTCAGATTATGTTCTCAATTTGGTCATTTATGAAACGGAAGTTTCAATATGCACACAAGGCAGTTTCAAGAAGTTCATATGTGCAACGAGCACCCAACAACATGGCTTTACACAAGAAACTACTTAAAGGAGGACACACTATATCATGTTCCATAAGTCGCCTACTTTTGCATCCTCCACTCGGAGGAGTCATGGTCACAGGTTTGTTTTGCAAATTGTCATTGTTCCAACCTATATTGATATGATGATAACCAAACGAATTTCAACTAGATGATCAAAACGAACCCCTGAGTTTCCTTTAACCACGATCTCCTTACAATATAGCGATAATGTTTGCAGGATTCATTCATTCCTTCGTTAACTTAATGTTCTCATCCATATATGCCAACAATTACAATGTAATGATAAAAAGAGACAGAGTGGATCATGTATGTACACACCATTCTTCAACTCCGAACCGAATACACGCAGGAATCAGTATTTCTCTCGTTACCAATCTGCCCAAAAAATCCAGTTAAATAAATGACATGTCCATGTTATGCAGCGGGAAAATTCTACTATGCTCCGGTGTACATGCTAGAAAATCCATATGCATCAATCACAAAATTGAACAATTCAACACAAAGGTAGCTACTTTATTTCATAATTCTTCAATTGCAATTGAATCCTACTTGTTTTCCACAAAATTCGAAACTGGGCAGCATTTAATTTTACCCAAGAGGCTACACAAACACCAAAGTTTTCTTTTTTATTTATCGAAAAATTAATTTGGGCATCTGCATTTACTATGAACATGAGAGTTAATCTATGAATTGTTTGCAGTTCAGATATAAGCAACCTGGGAGCGGTGAGTTGATTTGCCGGCCAAAATCTGCGCGCGGAAATTAACCTGAGCCTCTTTCTTCCGCCGTCCCTGCGCGCGAATCAGGTTCTGCTACGACGTCTGGCGACTGTTTTGTGTGTTCGGATGCTGGCTCAGACCTATCCGCCGGTCAGGGCAATTCTCGGGTTGAAAGCGGCTGCGTTATGAGGGAGTGGTAGCGGCAGGTGCTAGCTCACGCGCTGGAGAATACAAAGTATTTCTTAACCGAAAAGGATTCACCGTTTGTCGTACATGCCGATTTTCGTACTATTTATATTTAATTCTAAAGATGAAAATAATTTGTGATTAGACGATATATAATGAATGATCACGATGTATAATGAATGATCACGAACACGGAAGTCCTAGAATCGTCGATCCCTTTCCATTCTTGACCACCGCACAAAAAATATTCCGCGATTTGCCGCCGAACTTGTAACCAATTGGCGATTTGGCCCCTAAAAACTTTATTTTAATCAATTTTCCCCTTAACTTTGACAACTTTTTAGTTTCTTCCGTGTCGTCAGATTTAACATCTTATTCAAACACGCTGCGTGCGAGCGAAGAGTTAACTCCAACAACCTTTGTAGCCTGTCCCTCCCTGCAAAGGCCGCGGCTTTACAGGCGCCTTGTTATCTCCGCTGCTCGTTAGGGCTTTCTTTCCTCAGCTTCCCCGTAGACTTCACCCCACCTGATCTCGCCTCGTCCTCGCCACCGCCGACATGGGCAACACATCCTCGATGCTCACGCAGTACGACATCGAAGAAGTCCAGGAGCACTGTAACAACACATGTAAACGTTTCTAAACTCTTTTATGTTTCTGAGCTGTTTGGTTTGATTTGATTCGTTTTGATTCGATTCGATTCGATTTGTGCGTCTCGTGTTTCAAGTTTCCCAGCAGGAGATAGTTTCTCTGTACCAGCGGTTCTGTCAGCTCGATCGCAGCGGCGGAGGTTTTATCTCCGCCGATGAGTTCTTGTCCGTTCCCGAATTCGCCGTCAATCCTCTCTCTCAGGTAATCTCTCTCTCTCTCTCTCTCTCTCTCAAAGATTGAAGGTTTCTTTTCACATTATTTAATATAAATTTATTAAAATTCATATTTCAGAGATTGCTGAAGATATTGGATGGATTGAACTTTAAGGAGTTCGTATTGTTCTTATCAGCATTCAGTTCTCGTGCAAGCTTGCAGCAAAAAATCGAGTGTAATAATTTCTTCATTAGTTATTTCGGTATTAGGAGTATGTTGGCTGCTATGAGCTTGCTTGATTTGTTGTCTTGTTTCTGAGTTGCAGTTTGGCGTGTATATCTGTTTTGCAGTTATTTTTAAGGTATATGATTCAGACGGTCATGGGAAAGTCGCATTCAGCGACATGTTGGATGTTTTGCGGGATTTGACGGGGCAGTTCATATCTGAGCAACAGAGGGAGGTTGGTTCTCTCACAATCCATGTTAAAGTTAGAACATTTGAATGGAAAATCACTAACTTTTCACTATTCATGTTAACTTTGAGTTCTTGGTAATTTCACGGTTGCTTAAGCACATTTCTCAAAAGTGCATTATGTAACATTATAAACCTTTCTTTGTAAATTCTGGAATGCTTTCCTTCGGGCTTTGGAATGAGGCTTGGGGCACTTTAGTTCATGTTCAAAAAATTATCTTTGTGAAGCGTCTCGAACAAGATTTTCCCATCGCAGATATGTTTATCTCGACTATGTTCAGTTACCTGGTATAGAGCTATTCACCATCTGTTTTTAAGTTACCAATTAAAATATAATCAGGGTTTTAATCTAGGATTTTTCATTTCAAACGGACGTGACCCTTGGTTTGTAGGCAAAAAAAGGGGAAAATGCTTATAATCATAATCGGAATGTGCTCCTTGTATTACCTTCATGAAAGTATGTTCTTTGAGACCTAGTTTTTCAAATGACTATGTATTGGTTTTCTTATTAAAAAAGAGGACTTTTGATTGAAAACTCGACTTCAGCTTTTCTTTATACAAGATTAATGGAATTATCTGTTCTGGAACTGTGAGTATTTGTGTGTTTGATATTGTGCTTATTCGGTTTATTTTTCTACAGCAAGTATTGACGCATGTCCTTGAGGAATCAGGCTATACAAAGGATTCATTGTTAAGCATATCGGACTTTGTGAAGGTACCACAACATAATGAGTTCTCTGTTGTAGTTGGTGCACATTATTATAGATATAAACTGATCTGGTTAGTATAATTTTGTTTGCCTTTTGGAAACAATACTACGATTTTCATGTAACCATAGCTTCATTTTCCTTATGGGGATGGATGCCCTCAGAATTTTTCCCAAGTTCTTAAGTTATCTTCGCTGAAAATCACACTTTTGTTGGGTCCGGCATACATGTGATAAAGGTTAGAGCTGTGATAGAATGGCTTGAAGGTTTAATATCTCAAGAAGTTGAGATGTTTTGTTTTCCTTCTGGTTTGCTTTTCTTTGAACATGTTGTATTCTTCTTGATACTACTATACTCTGGGACGTACCGAAGAGTGTTAAGTAAATTAATTGTCTATTCGTTCCTGGTTCTTCTCTAATCAGAATAGTTAATACTTTCGCAAACATTACATGCATTGAAATTCAGTTTAAGCAATAAAATTTGTAGAAGGCATTATGTGTTAGAACCCCACTTCAACCTTTACCCAAATGTAAGAGATACTAACAAGAACACTAATACAATCAAATATTCATTCACCCTTTGGTTGCAGGCTAAAGAAATCCAACTCAACAATTGACACCTCGCTAACTAAGTGATGCCACTTGGCATCCTACCATTATGTGAATGCGAAAATAAGCAAAATGATGTCAAACTTTGTTCCTCATTGTGTACAGACTCTTGGCAACTCTGAATTGAAGATGGAGGTCGAGGTTCCTGTGGATTGAAATGACATTGATGAATCTCAGAGCTAGGTTTGGCCAAAAGCAGAGGCACAACACGCTCTCAGTTTCCTTGTAAGTGTCTACGCACTTATTGTGGGAGTGGCATTGCTAATTCTGCCAACTGGTTTATAGAACAGCAGCACAATGTATTTCTTACAAGTTATCTATTACATGGCTTTGAGCCTTCAAGCCATAAGAATTATGTAGTAGTTCAGATGGAAACGATTTGTCGCCAGTTCTGCTTGTTGAATAACGTAATTTATAGACAGCTTCGCTTCATATACGAATGTTATCAGCTTCATCATTGGAGTATTTGGTTCTTATGAGTGTCTGAGAATACCAGGGCTAATGATCGTATCTGTGTGTTATCTTTTTTTCCAGATGCATCTTGCACCGGTATTCAAATCCATCATCCATGTCCGCCATTCATTTTTACCAGCTAACCATGCTTATATTCTTCGTCTTCATTCATCAATTTTCATTGCCTTTTTATCCAAAAATGATTGTTGAGATCGGCATAACTCCTCACTTTGATCCCTGACAATAACAATTGATGGAAGTTGGGCCATGAGTTTGACCACTTAAAATCACTTTGGTCATTTCGTGAAAAATATGTCAATATCCTCGCTAAATGTCATGTGAACGATGAGTGACCACCTTTTAAGGGTATTGTTGTCAAACAAACTCTTCCACTTAACGAGAATATTGATAGATTTTTATGGAATGATCAAAATAATTTCCAACGGACAACCACTTCTATCGATTTTCATTATCAGAGATCAAAGTGAGGAGTTATGCCAATCTTAGGGACAATTTCGGCTAAAAAGCTATTTTCATTTGTGTTTAACGTTAGTTCAAGCGTCCCTTAAGATGTTATTGTTCTTAATGATTTCCGTTCGTGCATCCTTTTCTCTCTTTATGATCCCATCCTGCCATCTTTAATAAGGAGATGATGTATCATGTGGATAACCAACAAATTCAAAATCACAAGCAAATAAATGGACCACCTGCTAGCTTTTTCTTATATCATTAATTTCCCTTTCAATGATTTAAAACCAAATGCAAGCCGGAAAAGAGACTTACATGCACTCAGCGGAAATTTTCGCACAATTTCATGCTATAAAGTTATTTTATTATGTTTTGGATGTCATTATGATCGATTGCATGTAAGTCATTTCTCTAAAAGAAGACTGAAGATTTATTAAATGTAATGTGTACTAAAATTCGGGGTGTGTTCCAGGCTGGGTTTACTATCATCATTCCCATTCGATTCTTCATAGATCATGATTGCTAAAATAGTATATTAGTATGGTTGACCCATATCACAAGGATAGGAATTAGCCAAAAGGGGAAAAAGGAAAAAATAGAGTTGACAAGCCAGCTTGGCTTGGATACTGCCATCTTGATGTCCCAATTTCTCCAACAGGATCATCTCCGGATCATTTTGATGAGAATTTTAGGAATCCTGTGAATTGTGTATCGTTCATCGTACATCGTGTGGTCAGTTTTTTTCAAGTATTATTTGTGTTTAATTTTAAATAAAAATATTTAGTATGATTTTTGACCGCACGATGTATGATGAATGGACACGATTCACTGATTCTGGGATTCTCACAAAGAGGATCCGGATTCCCAATTCCCGTCTCGAGTTGCTGTATAAATATGTCAGGTGGTCGGTGTGTCTGGCAATATCTAGGACCCTGCTGCCATCTTGAATAATTTATAGCCGTTGAACCAGTTACTAACGACTTTTTGAAATATTAAGGGACCCTTTAATAACGGTAGCGGGAGAAAAGGAAGAGAAGTGGCCCCACTTCGTAATGATTAAGAAGAAATCAATTTGGATTAAGATTTTAGATTATTAGTCTTTTGAGACAGTGATCGAAATTGGTGGGAAGCTCTAATCGCCGGGAGAGAAGGTAAGACGACATCGTTTCTGGTTTGATCTATTTGGTTGGTAGGAAAGGATAGATTTTGTGTCTGCCGATGTTGTCGTACGTTTCACCCTTCGTGGAAACAAAGGTAACGACAGTTTTGTTTAACCTTAATCAATGCTTTCTGTTTCAGAACACGTCCAAATGAATGCTTCTGCTGCTGATGCTCCTGCTTTATAAGGAAGCAAAATATCGAAGATTCAATTTTTGGTAGGTTTTTTTTACGTTGGCCTCTTGTTGTACTTGCATTGAATCCTAAACGCGTACATGCTTCTAATCTGGACGAATGAAGAACCTAATTGAACTTGGGAAGCTTCGAATTAAGCAGTCGCGGCGTTTTGTTGATGTTCCGCGTTTTCTCCTTGATTGCAGATTAAAAGGTGGATTTGTTTCTGCGCTTGTTCCTTAACGAAAGGCGCGGATAGGTTTCATGTCATTTTGTCAAACCATAGAGAATTCTTCGTTTCTGGCTTCGTTTTAATTCGTTGTTCTGCAGAAACAGGTTTCTTGTAATTTGATTTATTTATTTATTTTCCTTTTCTTCGCGTTTGTGTTTTTTTTTTTTTTTTTTTTTTTTCGATGTTGTAAAAGAAGAAATTTTGACATGGTTGAATCTTTCCGCAGTGATTTTTCTCAACTGGGTTTTGTGAAGATCAAGTTTTCGCCTTTTACGCAGCATCAGGTAATCTTTCTTTGCTTCTCGGTTCCCTTGTGTATCAAGTGGAGTTTAAGTTTGTTATTGCCTATGTGAATTTGAAGTAAGTACTGATAATTTTGAATAGCTCTGTTCTTTTCTAGAAGTCCGATTTTTGCCATATAACCGAGATGGCGGAGGGTGGTGTGCCTTGTGGAATGCCTGAAACTGATATGACAACGCTAACCGAAGCGCTTAGAGCGCAACAACAACTACTGCAAAAGCTTTACTCTGATCTGGATCAGGAAAGAGAAGCATCATCTACTGCAGCTGACGAAGCTCTATCCATGATACTACGTTTGCAAGGAGAAAAGTCCGCTATGAAGATGGAAGCAAATCAATACAAGAGATTGGCAGAGGAAAAGATCTGCCATGCCGAGGAAGCTCTTGCCATTTTCGAAGATCTCATTTATCAGAAGGAAATGGAAATTGCTTCGCTTGAGTTCCAACTTCAGGCTTATAGGTACAAGCTTTTAAGCGTGGGCTGCAGCACGGAGCTAGGCACTGGTGAAAATGTATATCCGGAGAATTTGTTGTTTCAAAGAAATGATTTCGCAAGTGCGGAAGTGGGTGTTAGTGGGACGATTAGAAGAATCAACTCTCGAGGTGATTTTGGCAATGGGGAAACTGGTGTTAGCGGGGCTATTAGAAGAATCAATTCTCTACCTCCACTTGAGCTCAAGGAATTGCTCAAAAGCACTGTGGAAAGAGAAAGAGATAAAGAAAGAGAACGAGAAAGAGACAGACCAATGATCCCCAAACCCGAACCCGCAACAAAAAAACAGGAGAAGAAGGTGGATCAGGAAGTCAATGTCCAGAGCATAGATGTTGAGAAGAAATCACCAAATTATGCGGGCGGGAACATGAACACTATCTGGGAGCAGATTAAGAAGTTAGACGCACGAGTGAAGGAGATATCCGATTGTAAGGATTATGGCAAATCTGCACTCTGGAAGGGTCCTCCATCCAGGACTTGTTCATTGCCTCCAATTCCGAAGATAAGCATAAGCCCAAAAAATGAGCCAGCCAGTGAAGAAATTATTGCTAGTCTACAGGGAAGGGAAGCAATTGATAGCCCTTCATGCTACTCAAGTGTCCATGATGTTTTCGAAGTCCCACAAAGTTATGAGAATCATAAAGCCGGTGAAGGAGAGAAGAAAGAACTTAATACATTGACAGTGGAAGTCGAGAACAGGCTTGGTAAGCCGGATCTGGTGATCGATGAGAAGAGTGAAGCATATGTTAGAGATGAAACAGATAGGGTAAAGAAAATGTTGCATATCAAGAAGCCGGAGAACAAAATACCTAAACCAAGAGATGGGATAAGTAGTGTTGACTCCAATCTGAGAGAGAGAGGGGTGAGTGGTGGCGTTACTGAATCTCAGCAAGCAAAATTTCGACAGTTGTGGAGGAGGATAGAGCGGCTTGAGGGAGAGAGGAATAATATAAGGCAAGAAATTAGTCATGCGGGAGAACAGGAGTTGAAGCTGTTCCGGGAGATACACGAGCATCTTAATTTAATACAGTCTGACATGCGTAGTTGGAAGCCTAAGAAACCCTCTCCACAGGATGATGAGCCCTTGCACAATGTTATGGAGGTATGATTTTCTTGCATTGTCCTTTCGGCATGAATCTTGTTTCACCTTGATTGCAGAGATTGATGACTTGTTTCCATTTCTCTAATTCATTGAACAGGCAATGCTGCACTTTTGGCTTTGATCAAGCAATCCGGTGACGCTGATGAACTTGTTCCGTAAGGGTATCTTGACTCTCCAGTGGTTTGTGTGGATAGATTCTTAAATTTGATATAAGTACATATAACATACACAACGTAAAGTGTTCAATCTGTACATTAAGGTTAAGCTTGCCCCCCACCAAAAAAAACTGTCTTCTTAGTAGGATTCGAAGCGGAATGCTTTCGTGTACATTTATAATTTTGAAATTGAGATGCCGGTTGTAAGTCATATACATACGGAAGGAGTGCTTTCTAAACATACCACGTTTTACATTTTCCGTGCATATAGAAAAGTATATGACATTTTAAAATTTTGAGTATAACTACATTAAACTTCTGTATTATCATAAACTATATGACATTTCCCATCCACAGCGGAAGGATATGACCGAAAGGTATTTAAATCTAGTATATTTGGAGAAATCTAACGGAGGAGTTGCTTTTTCATGAGGACCAAGAACTCAGCAAAAAGGGTTACTCCATAGTCTTCTGTTATCTTGTTCCTCCGTGAATCGTTAAGCATCTCAAAGAACGATTTGATTTAGAAGTTGAATTTCATGATTTTTGGGGTCCTTAAATTCGGTCTCTGGCTAATAATTGGGAGGGGCTTCCCTTAAATTATATCATGGCAAAGATTCGAAATAGCTCATCGCAGCATGGCATATTGTGTACACGATTCTTTGCTAATATAGTAGTTACTAGTTAGTACTCCGTAACCTCCTATTGTTTGAAGCAGTATATACATTAGGGAAGATGGATTCTGGAGCAGAGTTTTCGAGTTTATGAGTAGTCAAAAGAAGAATAAGATGCATACTCTGGCATTATATTGATTCACAAGTTTTGCTAGTAAGTGCAGAATTTCATGTTCTTGTTTATTGAAGATTACATCATTTGATTAAGAACTGATCATCTGAATTCCACATTCTTTTGCAACATTGATTCTTTCAGAGAACGATCGCTAAGTTCCAATGTTCTAGATTACGTATTGCATATTTAAGTCCAAAATGCATTTTTAACTTCTAATGTAACAGTGTTATAGCGACTGCAGAGTTAAGTTATGAAAAGATAGGAGTTTCACTAGCAGATAGTGAGGGTGGGTATCTGTGGACGTCACACGAAAACAGATCGATACTTGAAGTAAGGTTTTGGCTATGGAAGTCATAATCTTGGAGCACCATACCGAAGCCCTTCCTCTTTTAATTCTTTACTGCAAGTGGAATGAGCACTGTGTTTTATCATCCTTTGTCCCTACCCCCTAAAGCTTCTTTTGAATATATAGAGTTATTAATTAGTTAGCGAAAATCGACCAAAAGAGTAGCTAGCAAAAGGAAAGCGACTGAAGTTCTCGCTTTCTGCAACAGTATCTGTAATCAGGTGAAAAGTTAGTGCAGTTCTGATCGAAGGAAAGCGATTGAAGTCCTTACCTGGTACATTTTATGTAGAAACTGTGCCGCAGATATAAGGTACGTGATACAATTGAATAGAGCACAAATGAAGTGCATATCGACTCAGACTCAGCAAAGTTTTATATATGAAATATTTTGAAGAGATGATGAGAGTATGATGAAGGCTCTCTCATGGAATGTTACCTAAACTTTTCTCAGTTGGGACGGGGAAGATCATCGAAGGAAAACACAGAGTGGTCAATTCCTGGACAAGATGATGCTCGATACAACGCTGTTAATCTTGAGTTTTCAATTAATAGCTGATCAGTTCATAGTTTTAGCAGTAACATTTCGACGGACAAAATGCAGCAACGAAAATGCTACTGATAAATATAGTTAATCATTCGGTTCTGTTTGGTCGATTAAATCATTTTTGTTCGGCGAGAAGTACCGAATGTAATATTACCATGCGGGTTGTGGTCAGTGGCGGAGCAAGAATTTTAGACTAGAAGAGACCCAAAAGTCTCAATTTGAAACACTCTTCTAATCTTACAAAAATTACTTTGCCGTGTGATGAGTAACTGAGACCACCGTAGTTTGAGTTTACTTTGGTGTCGTCCTCATCATCCTCTTTTTTAAACCTAAACTCCAAGCCTCTCTGACTTTCTTTCTCGCTCCCTCCTCCTCAAAGCTCACAAACAATGAATTGCTTGAACTCCATAGGAACCACCAACCTCAAATCAAACCCAATGAAAGAAATTAAACTAAAAACATCAAATTGGAGCCTTGAGCATAAGAAAAAACCTTGAACATCATAAGTAAAACACTAAACTTTTATGAGTGAAAAATGTCAGGTGGGCCTGAAACCATCGTGGTCCCTTCGTGGCTCCATCTCTAAATGTGGTTCCCAAGTAATGGTGTAAACATAAATGAAATTCCGTGTTTAAATAGTAAAACTCTGGTGTTAAGCGGGCAAATTGTATACGAAGGGTAGGCAGAAAGAGAAGGAAATGCCTTTTTGGACTGTGGATGTCAAAATCTGTCAGCGTTGGTTGCCACAAGAAGAATATTATATGTTGAAAAAAACAGAATTACGATCCATGATACGCAATCATAATTATTGATTAGATGAACTAAACTCCATTAAAGTGATAAGCAACAAAGGCTGCCTTTGGTTGGTTCTCACTTTTGAGATTAGCCATCAATAAAAAGGTAGCTAGGACGCTCATCATTAATTTGTTCACTAGTGAAAAGAAGCTTTCCTTAGCGATTGTAACTTTTTGCTGACTCTCATGACATGGCTAAGAGCGGAATTCATATCGATAGTATATTCAAAACAAAATAAAAATGTAAAAATATATCAACTATACTGTATAACCGTTGATATGTTGTTGATACATTGCTGACATATGAATTCCACTCCACTCTAACGAGAATGATATTGACAACTATAGTTGGAGCGCTTCAGTTAAAGGGATTCCACCTACACCCTAACTCTCATGACACCACTTGGAGCGGGATTCATATCGACAATATATTCAGAACAAAATAAAAATATAAAAATATATCAACTATTGATATGTCATTCATATAGCCGTTGTTGATACGTTGCAAATATATGAATTCCACTCCACTCTAACGAGAATAATATCAAGAACTATAGCTGGAGTGTTTCAGTTAAAAGGGATTGCCCGTAAGAAGGGCTTGTTACATAATAAGGAAGTGATTTCTGCACACATCTTTTCCCGCCTGCCAAATGAATTCAATAATCACACATGATGAAAGATCAAAACTAGAGTGCTTCAACTTTAAGATCAATTTCTTCAATCAGAAACGATGAAGGATTGGAGACGTAATCCTTCAACCGACCGATTTCGTGAGCTACATCCTGCATATTAGGTCTCAATGAAGGAGTGTACTGAGTGCACATCAGACCAAGCTCAATCAGTTCAAAAACAACATCCCTCCAGACTTTGTTGTACTGTTTAGGCATCGAATCCGCAGCGCACCTATCGAGCGCTTGCTGAACTATTGGATCGAGCCTGTGCGGGTACTGCCTTTTCACCCATTCATGAAGAGTTGAACCTTCGTGAGCAAGGACATCCGTTGGTCGCCTTCCTGTAACGATTTCTAGCAAAAGGACCCCGAAGCTGAACACGTCTCCCTCAGTAGAAATGGGTTTTCCCAATGCATACTCTGCATTTCACCAAGTTAATGAAGGAAATTAGTATGTATTAAAAAAGGTGTGCGGAAATCACTTTCAAATTTGTACATATTAGAAAATACGTACCAGGAGCAATGTAGCCAATGGATCCGCATAACAAGCCATCTGCTGAACTGAAGGATGCTGAATCATTCGTTGGAACATTCCCATCATCGCCTTTCCCCAATCTCGCAATTCCAAAATCAGTTACCAACGCCGTCATGTCCTCATCTAGTAGAATGTTGCTCGGTTTGAGATCACAGTGCACAACTCTAACAGGAGAATGGTGGTGTAAATAGGACACGCCTTCAGCTACATCACTGCAGATGCTCACCAACTGAATCAAATTCAACCGAACGCTCAGTCCATGGTTTGAGTATAGATGCCTCTCCAGGCTCCCATTTGACATCAATGGCAGAACAAGAGCCTTAAAGTCCGGCCTACTACACGCCGTGATAATTCTGATCAAATTTCTGTGCCTAGTCCTCTTCAGAACTCTGCATTCCCTTTTGAAGCTTCCTAAGATCTCTTCATCCGTTTTCAAATCCAATACCTTCACAGCAATTACTGAGTTGTCTTGGAGGATACCCTTATAGACATGGCCAAACCGGCCTGAACCAATCAGGCTAGAAGGGCTGAAACCGCCAGTGGCTTCAATGAGCTGCTCGTAAGAGATTCTCGGGTACTTGTGTTCTTTCTTCCCTTCTTCTTCATCATCCCCCAAATCCACTTGATCGAAAACTGCCTGGTGCCTTTGGAATTTCGACCTGTGCATGAGGGGGTACCCGAATACACAAAATATGGGGGTGATAAGTAATGACAAGATAATTGACAGAATAGCCAAATGATGAGTGCGCTTCTTCCGGCAGTTTGACATGCCTTTTATTGATCCACAGAGACCAGCATTTCCGAGGAAAGAGTCTATAGTCAGCGAAGAAAAGGCCCCATTGCTTGATACATTCCCAGAGAAGTTGTTGAAAGAGAAGTTGAGTTTCTTCAGAGTTAATGATTCCTGCAGAGACTCTGGTATTTCTCCATTTAGTTGGTTTGAGGATACATCAAGTTTTTGAAGATAAGGCAGCTTTCCTATTGAATCCGGTAGAAAGCCTTCTAAGGAATTCGCAGAAAGGTTGAGGTACTCGAGGGCAATGCTGCTCCCAAGTTGTGATGGGATTGTGCCGGAAAGATTGTTGGAAGATAGGTCAACTGCTAGCACCATGTCCATTTTGCTCAACTCCATCGGTAACAGTCCATGCAAGTGATTGTTAGACAGGTTCAAGTACAACTTCAAGCTCCTCAGCCCTGCAACTTCGCTCGGAATCACTCCAGAAATTTGGTTGTGAGAAAGGTCTAGAATCTCTAAATTGATGCACTTACCTAGGCTCGGTGGTATAGTCCCCGAGAGTTGGTTTTCATCAAGCAAGAGCCTTCTTAACTGGAAAAGATTTGCAAAACTATCTGGAATGGAACCGGAAAGCTTATTTTTTGATAAATCTAGAAGGCCTAGATGGGGAATGTCACCAAAGGCGGATGGAATCTCACCAGAGAGTGAATTGTTTGACAAAAACACCCTCTCTAGCATTGTCATTCGGCACAGTTTGGACGGGATGGTTCCATTTAGAAGGTTACTAGACAAATTCAACAGGGTGAGGTTGACAAGATTTGAAATGTGAGGAGGAATTGAACCATAAATCTGATTAGCATCTAAGTGGAGCTGTGCAA